ACAGAGTGAGACTCCATCTCAAAAAAAAAAAAAAATTAAAAGAGTAGAGAGAATAGACATACTTGTTTTGCTTGTATAGGCCCAGACTCTGCTTGGAAGGATGTTCAATAAACACACACTGTTGCTCCCAGGGCAGGTGGTGGCAAAATACAATAGGAAATGTGACCCTGCAGCCATGCAAGACAAAGGCTCTTTATGGAGCTGACAGAGAAGGGTGGGTGACTTATCACTGTATATCCACCTGTCCTTTTTCAATTTTGACACATATAAATGTAACTACTTATTCACAAATAATAAAAATTACAAATTGTAAATTGCCTTAATTACTTGCAAATTACCCAGTCCTTCCAATCTCTTTTTTTATTGATACCTCATAATTGTACACATTTGGGGGTTTGTAATATTTTAATACATGTATACAATGTATAATACTCAAGTCAGAGTAACTGAGATATCCGTCACCTGAAACATTTATCTTTGTTTGGGAATCCAATCATTCCAATATCGTTTTTGTTGTTGTTGATTTTAGGTGTCTTTTTTTGTTTGTTTGTCTGTTTTTGATACACAATCTCGTTTGTGGCCCAAGTTAGAGTGCAGTGGCACGATCTCGGCTCACTGCAACCTTTGCCTCCCAACTCAAGCAATTCTCGTGTCTCAGCCTCCAGAGTAGCTGGGATTATAGGCACACACCACCACGCTCATCTAATTTTGTATTTTTAGTAGAGATGGAGTTTCACCATGTTGGCCGGGCTAGTCTCGAACTCTTGACCTCAAGTAATCCGCCCGCCGCGGCCTCCCAAAGTGTTGGGATTACAGGGGTGAGCCACCGCATCTGGCCTGTTGATTTTTGTTTGAGACAGTGTCTCACTATGTCACCCAGGCTGGAGTGCTGGGACATGAAAATGGCTCTTTGCAGCCTCAACCTCCTGGGCTCAAACAATCCTCCAGCCTTAGCCTCCCATGTATCTGGGACCACAGGCACATGCCACCATGCCCAGCTAAATTTTTAAAAATTTTTTTGGTAGAAATGGGGTGTCATTTTGTTGCCCAGACTGGTCTCAAAGTCCTGGGCTCAAGCAATTATCCTGCCTCAACCTCCCAAAGTGCTGGATTATATGTGTGAGCCACCATGCCCAGCCTCAATTTCTTTCTTTTTTTTTTTGAGACAGGGTTTCACTCTATTGCCCAGGCTGGAGTTCAGTGGCACAATCATAGCTCACTGCAGCCTCAAACTTCTGGGCCCAGGTGATATTCCCACCTCAGCCTCCCGAGTAGCTCAGGCTACAGGTACATGTCACTACACTGAGCTAATTTTTTTTTTCTTTTGTAGAGATGGTGTCTGTGTTGCCCAGGCTGGTCTTGAACTCCGAGGCACAAACAATCCTCCCATTACGGCCTCCCAAAGTGCTGGAATTACAGGCATGAGCCATCGCACCCAGCCCCAACTTCTGGTTCTAAATCACTAAATCCCACTCCTCTTCCCCAACAAACCTGGCTTCAGAAATCACCTTAAATTCATCAAGCAGTACTTACCTATATTACACTTCACTTAAGTTTTAAAACTTTTATCTAAAAGACTGAAATAAAATATATTGAAATACTAGTAATTTTTGGATAACAGAATTATATAACCTTTTATTTCCACAATTTTAAAGACTTTCTGACATATATGTTTAGGTCACCTTAAATCTTTTCTAGAATAAAGAGTTAAGTGCTTCCTATATATCAGACCTTAAGTATTTTATGTATATTAAATCATCTCATGCTTATAATCCTATGAAGTAGCTGTTTTATTAATGTCATTTTAAAGGTGAAGAAACTATGACATAAAGGTTGAGTAATTTGCCCAAGATTACACACAATATGAACAAAGGTACATTGGCTCCCAAGCACATATTCGAAACATACCATCTCAAATAAAAGAAGTTTTTTTTAATAGTGAAAAAAACTTATTTAAAAAAAAATGAGTTCTTTAATCAATCTAAATCATTACTACTCTATTACTATGTAGCTCTCTGTACAGTTAAATGGTAAGATATACTTGCAAAACTGCATATTACAATAAGTGGTATAATCATGTGGATAACTGCAGGTTACATAAAACTAACAAAAGTATAAACTAATAACATACCTCTCCTCTATTCTGTTTTTATCCATGAGAGGCTGCTTAATCCACTGGTTAACAAGTCTTTGTCCTTGAGGGGTTTTACACTTATTCAGCAAGGCAGCCAGAGACTGAGAGCCAGTGGTATCTTCAACAGAACCCTAGTAAACAAAAAATAAAATAGAAAGAATGACACACTCATTAGTGAAAACCTTACTATGCCATGAAAAACAGAGAAACAATAACATAATATTCTTCAAATATTAAGAAATTTCCACAAAAAGTTCCTCTTCCTAAGACCAACTTTCAACTTCTTAATCCGTATGTTCAGCTGTACATTTCTCCCCTAGCCAAAACCACTTTATAATTACTACAGTTTTATTTTTTATTTGTTGAGACAGGGTCTCACTCTACTGCCCAGACTGGAGTGCAGTGGTGCCATCCTGGCTCACAGCAAGCCAGAACACTTGGGCTCAAGGAATCCTCCCACTTTAGCCTTTCAAGTAGCTGAGACTACAGGCGCATGCCACTAAGCCCCACTAATTTTTTCTCATTATGTTGCCCAGGCTGGTCTCAACTCCTGGCCTCAAGTGATCCTCCCAGCCTGGGCTCCCAAAGTGTTGGGATTACAGGCATGAGCCACGTTACTCAGCCACTTACTGCAGTTTTAGACATAAAGCTTCTTAGAATGTCATTTTAAATTGCTAGGCCAGGCGCAGTGGCTTACGCCTACAATCCCATCACTTTCGGAGGCTGAGGCAGGCAGATCACCTGAGGTCAGGAGTTAGCGACCAGCCTAGCCAACAAGGTGAAACCCCATCTCTACTAAAAATACAAAAATCAGCTGGGCATGGTGGCAGGCACCTCTAATCCCAGCTAATTGCGCAAACCCGAGAGGCAGAGGTTGCAGTGAGCTGAGATCACACCATTGCACTCCAGCCTGGGCAACAAGAGACTCCGTCTAAAAAAAAAAAAAAAAAAAAGAATTGCTATTAGTAGTAGTACACAAAATTATTCATAAAGTAAGGACTAATACTACATAGATAGCTTGAAACTAGAGGGGAAAAAAAGCAATTCGAGAGCAAGGCACAGAGGCGCACCTGTAGTCCCAGCTACTTTGGAGACTATGATACAACTGCTTGAGCCCAGGAGTTCGAAGCTGTAGTACACTCTGATGGCACTTCCTGTGAACAGCCACTGCACTCCAGCCTAGGGAGCATATACAGTGACACCAGCCTCTTGGAAAAAAAAAAAAAAAAAAAAGCCTTGAAAAAAAAATAGCAGAGCATGGTGGTTCATGCCTGTAATCCGAGCCACTACTCCAGAGGCTAAGACAGAAGAATCACTTGAAGCCAGGAGTGAGTGAACATCCTGGGCAACACTGTGAAACTCCAACTCTGAAAAAATGTTAAAATTAAGCAAGCATGGTGGCTTGTGCCTGTAAACCCAGCTACTTATGAGGTTGAAGCAGGAGGATAGCTTGAGCTCAGGAGTTCAATACTGCAGTGAGCTATGATTTTCCCACTTCACTCCATGCTGGGTGACAGAATAAAGCCCAGTCTCTAAAAAAGTAAAAAGTAGGCCAGGCGCGATGGCTCAAGCCTGTAATCCTAGCACTTTGGGAAGCCGAGGTGGGAGGATCACCTGAGATCAGAAATTTGAGACCAGCCTGGCCAACATGGTGAAACCCTGTCCCCCTGTCCCTACTAAAAATATAAAAATTAACCAGGCATGGTGGCAGGCAACTGTAATCCCAGCTACTTGGGAGGTGGAGGTTGCAGTGGGCTGAGATTGTGCCACTGCACTCTAGCCTAGGGGACAAGTGAGACTGTCTTTAAAAAAAAAAAAAAAAGTTAAAAAGTGGAGTGGGGGAGGGGAGAGAAGAGAAAATATAGCCTTTTGAAGCTACTTACCTAATCCAAGTATAATAATATTTCAAAATATTTTAGCTCCCTAATAAAATTCTTCAGTATATGTCAATGAAAACATTTTTAAACCATTCAACATTTTTAACTTTTTTTTTTTTTTTTTTTACCTGAAAAAGGTTAAGGGCTCTGACTGCTGCAATATCCAATTTCATGTACTGGCTGAAGTCAAAAGTAGTCAGTTCAAACTGTCCAAAATTGGAATCATCTGATAAGAGTTCTAAAAACTTGATTACCGCAGACAATGATGAAACTGCAACCTAAAATTAAGAATTTAAAATCAAAGATTTCTATACCACTGGATCCAGTTCTAAAGATTTTCAAAAACAAATGCAAAATGAAAATAAATTCTGAACTCCATCATTTTCCTTGGTGTTCCTTCCCAGTCCAAACCAAGAAAACCAACGGTTAATCTCTTGAGATTTGAAAATGGTTTTTACAAGGTGAAAATTAATGGTAATCGCAGTATTATTTATAATAGCCAAAAAAGAAAATTACCCAAATGTCCATCAAAACTAAAATGGGGGCCAGGCGTGGTGGCACATGCTGTAATCCAAGCACTTAGGGAGGATGAGGCGGGCAGATGACTCGAGGCTAGGAGTGTGAGACCAGCTTAGCCAACATAGTGAAACCCCACCTCTATTAAAAATACAAAAATTAGGCCCTTTCAACCTTGTGAGGTTAGAGTGAGAAAATGGTTATCTATGAGAAAGTGGGCCCTCACTGGACAACAGATCAGCCAGTGCCTTAATTTTGAACTTCCCAGTCTCCAGAACTGTGAAATAAAAATACAAAAATTAGCTGGGCATGGTGGCACATGCCTGTAAACCCCAGATACTCAGGAGATGAGAAAGGAGAAATGTTTGAAACCAGAAGACGAAGGTTGCAGTGGGCTGAGATCACACCATTGCACTGCAGCCTGAGCAACAAGAGCGAAACTCCGTTCCAAAAAAAAAAAGAACTGTGAAAATTAACTGTAATCGCAGGAGTATTTGTAACAGCCAAAAATGAAAATTACCCAAATGTCCATCAAAATTAAAATGGGGGTTGGGCACAGTGGCTCACACCTGTAATCACAGCACTCTGGGAGGCCGAGGCGGTGGATCACCTGAGGTCAGAAGTTCGAGACCAGCCTGGCCAACATAGCAAAACTCCCTCTCTACTGAAAATACAAAAATTAGCCAGGCACGGTGGCATGCAGCTGAACCCAGAGGCAGAGGTTGCAGTGAGCTGAGACCGCACCACGGAACTCCAGCCTGGACAATAGAGCAAGATTCTGAGACTCCATCTCAAAAAAACAAAAAAAAAGGTTAAAATGGGGAGAGTAGCAGCGGCAGGGGGAAGGGAAGTAAAATGGATAAATTCTGACGTTTGTGCTATGAAATATGAACGCAAAAATCCATAACTACACTCAATGATATGCATAAGTCTTACAAATATTGAATGAAAGAAGCTAGGGAAAATATATGATATAATTCCATGTATATAAACTATAAAAACAGGCTGGAGGCGGTGGCTCATGCCTGTAATCTCAGCGCTTTGGAAGGCCAAGGCGGGCGGATCACCTGAGGTTCAGGAGTTTGAGACCAGCCTGACCAACATAGAGAAACTCCATCTCTACTAAGAATACAAAAAAAGATTAGCCAGGCGTGGTGGCACATGCCTGTAATCCCAGCTACTTGGGAGGCTAAGGCAGGAGGATCACTTGAACCCGGGAGGCAGAGGTTGCGGTGAGCTGAGATTACACCATTCTACTCCAGCCTGGGCAACAAGAGCGAAACTGTCTCAAAAAAAAAAAAAAGCTTACTATCATTGATACACAGCTTAGGGTTTAAGACAAATATGACAAATATCCTTCTAAAAAGTCACTATAATTTACATATTATTTATATTATATATTTACATTATATATATTGTAATTCACATTTATAATCCATGTACCTGATTCTCCATTTCTGGCAATACAGCACTATTCATCTGTTCTCCCTTTTTGCCTTTCAACAGCCGGTTGAGGTCCTGATAAATGTCTTTCGTGGAAAAGTCAGCTTTTTTTCTTTCTGTGATCAGAATCCCTCCTCTTTGAATAATCTATTTTGAAATAAATAGTTTAAACTACTATGAAAAAAGGAATAAGAAAAGCAATAATGAAAATGATAACATTGATAATTATAGTGATAACAGATTAACCTACATTAAATGTTTACACAATGTGCAAGACATTGATAATATGATGTACTGACACACTTTTTACATCAATAAACTAAATTTTCATCAAAATATAAAATTATGTTCACATAAAGCTTTCAAAAAATAGTCCCAACTGTAACAACTCTTTTTTTGTTTTGAGACAGAGTCTCACTGTCGCCCAGGATGGAATGCAGTGACACAATCTTGGCTCACTGCTACCTCTGCCTCTCAGGTTCAAGCAATTCTCCTGCCTCAACCTCCCAAGTAGCTGGGATTATAGGAGCAAGCCACCATGCTTGGCTAGTTTTTTTTCCTTCTTTGCATTTTTAGTAGAGACACTGGACAGGCTGGTCTCGAATCCCTGACCTCAGGTGGTCCGCCCGCCTCAGCTTCCCAAAGCGCCAGGATTACAGGTGTGAGCCACCGCCCCCGGCCACAAATAATAACCCTTAACAGAACTATTACTTGTGGAAAGTTGCTTAGATACAATCTATGCTAAAAATGTCCATCACATGTGTTATCTCCAGCGGTGCTTATGGTACTTGAAGACCACAAAAAGTAAAAAATCCTCGGGAGATACATACCTTAAGAAATATCAGGCCGGGCGCGGTGGCTCAAGCCTGTAATCCCAACACTTTGGGAGGCCGAGACGGGCGGATCACGAGGTCAGGAGATCGAGACCATCCTGGCTAACACGGTGAAACCCTGTCTCTACTAAAAAATACAAAAAATTAGCCGGGCAAAGTGGCGGGGGGCCTGTAGTCCCAGCTACTCGGGAGGCTGAGGCAGGAGAATGGCGTGAACCCGAGTGGAGGAGCTTGCAGTGAGCTGAGATCCGGCCACTGCGCTCCAGCCTGGGTGACAGAGCAAGACTCCGTCTCAAAAAAAAAAAAAAAAAAAAAAAAAAAAAATATCTAGGCCAGGTGCTGTGGCTCATGCCTGTAATTCCAGCACTTTGGGAGGCTGAGGTGGGGGGATCACCTGAGGCCAGGAGTTCAAGACCAGCCTGACCAACATGGTAGAACATTGTCTCTACTAAAAATACAAAATTGGCCAGGTGTGGTGGGGCATGCCTGTAATCCCAGCTACTCGGGATGCTGAGGCAGGAGAATCGCTTGAACCCAGGATGTGGAGGTTGCAGTGAGCTGAGATCATGTCATTACACTCCAGCCTGGGCACCAAGAGTGAAACTCCACCTCAAAGAAAAAAAAAAAAGAAGTATCTAAATAATCAACTACATGCCTATAACAAATGACACAATCAAAGCCAAGCATGGTGGCTCACGCCTGTAATCCCAGCACTTTGGGAGTCCGAGGCGGGTGGATCACAAGGTAAGGAGTTCAAGACCAGCCTGGCCAAGATGGTGGAACCTCATCTCTACTAAAAATACAAAAATTAGCTACATGTGGTGGTGCACACCTGTAATCCCAGCTACTCAGGAGGCTGAGGCAGAAGAATTGCTTGAACCTGGGAGGCGGACATTGCAGTGAGCCAAGATCGCACCACCGCACTCCAGCCTGGGTGACAGAGAGAGACTTGGTCTCAAAAAAAACAAAAAACAAAAAACAAAAAACAAATCACACAATCAGAATTTAGTTAAAATAAATAGCAAAATAACAGGCTAAAGTTCCACTCAAACTATCAAAACATGCTAAAGAACTGCATCTTATTTGATAAAACCATAATTACAGTGATATTTACTATAATAATTACTCTTCTGGAACACAAGACAGAAAGGAAAGGGGGGAGAAAAGATCTGAGGTAAAATAAATCTTACACAAGAAACAGCTTGTTTTAATGTCCAATTAAATATACCGTTTCTGTCAATGTAAACATCAAAACATTATTTTAATTAGATACAAAAAAAAATAGAGTTTTTTATTATTTTTCCTTAAATAAAACAGTATCATGTCAAAGAGCCTTTCCTAGGCCTGGAATCTCCTCTATCACTAGACTCAATCTGCTTACCTGTCTCAGTTTCCCCATGTCTCCAGCAGTCTCTCCTCCAGGTAAAACACATTCCTTTGGTCCAATCTGGATGAGGAGAGCCTCAAGATTGGAGAACTGATCATTATCAGGGAATTCACACAGTCCTAGCTTCCTCTGTATGGAATCCACATACCCAACTCCAACCTGTCTCTGGCCATCAACTGTGGACATTTTAACACCCACAACACCAATGGAAGCTGACATATCATTGTTACCAAAGAGAATGTCTTCAAACTGAGATAGATTGCCAGGAGAAGCCTAAGTAAAAATAAAATTTCAAAAATTTAACAAACTCTTCAATGTACTTTAAAATTTTACTAGCAAAAAGGAAAAATCCAAACTCAATGAACCTTATTAATAAAATGCTTTCTTTTTTTTTTTGAGATGAAGTCTTGCTCTGTCACCCAGGCTGGAGTGCAATGGTACAATCTCGACTCACTGTAACCTCTGCCTCAAGGTTTCAAGCAATTCTCCTGCCTCAGCCTCCCGAGTAGCTGGGAATACAGGCGCACAGCCACCACGCCTGGCCAATAAATTGTTTTCTTATAAAAAATAACTGCCGAGTGCAGTGGCTCACGCCTGTAATCCCAGCACTTTGGGAGGCCAAAGTGGTCAAATCATGAGGTCAGGAGATCAAGACGATCCTGGCCAACATGGTGAAACCCCGTCTCTACTAAAAATACAAAAATTAGCCAGGTGTGGTGGCACGCACCTGTAATCCCAGCTACTTGGGAGGCTGAGGCAGGAGAATCACTTGCATCAGGGAGTCAGAGGTTGCAGTAAGCCAAGATGGCACCACTGCACTCCAGCCTGGCAGCAGAGCAAGACTCTGTCTCAAAATAAATAAACAAATAACTGCTTGTGGTTGGGCACAGTGGCTCACACCTGTTATCTCAGCACTTTGGGAGGCCAAGGCAGGCAGATCACTTGAGGTCAGAAGTTCAAGATCAGCCTGGCCAACATGGTGAAACCCCGTCTCTACTAAAAATACAAATCTGTAGTACTCATTTGTGGCCAGCCTTACCTATTATAAGGATCTTACAAATACTTGTCTCTATTATGACCTTAGTACTGGCCCTGCCCTCCCCTTCCCTGGCCCTCCCCCCTCCTTTTCCCATCCCTTCCCCTCCCCTCAGAAATTATCTATCCAATCTATCCCTCTATAGAGATGGGATCTTCCTACATTGCCCAGGGTGGTCTCAAACTCCTGGACTCATGCAATCCTCCTGCCTTGGCCTCTGAAAGTTAAACTGTAACCTCAACCTCCTGGGCTCAAGTGATCCTCTCACCTCAGCCTCTTGATTAGCTGGAACCACAGGTGTGTGCCAACAGCCCCAGCTAATTTTTTTTAATTTTTTAATCTTCAATAGAGATGAGGTTTTACCATGTTGGGCAGGCTGGTCTTGAACTCTTGGGCTCAGGCAATCTGCCTGCCTCAGCCTCCCAAAATACTGGGATTATAAGCAAGAGCCACTGTGCCCAGCCAAACTGCACCTTTTTAAAAACCACATGCTAATTGCTACTAAAGTGTCTCAAAGCATTCTATTATCACAGCCTACTTAAAATACTAAAACACAATTAAATTCTTCACATTTTTATTTTTCTACTCTTAAAAAAATAAGTAAATTAAAAAGGAAGATAATTACCTTATATGCCAAATACCAATCATTCTCCTTGGATGCCTTATTTCCAGCTCTGTTCTTATAAACTTCAACTCTATACTGACGAACCAGAAGAAGATCTTTTACAAAAGATTCAAAATTCATTTTACTAAGCACAACACTCTGCAGATTCTTTGCTCCTTAAAAAAAAAAAAAAGTACATTACAGATTTGAGATATTACATGTTCAAGCACTGTATCAGTCGGACTTCACACTGCTGATAAAGACATACCAGAGTCTGGGAAGAAAAAGAGGTTTACTGGACTTATAGTTTCACGTAACTGGGGAGGTCTCACAATCATGGCAGAAGGCAAGGAGGAGCAAGTCATGTCTTACATGGATGGCAGCAGGCAAAGAAAGAGGTTGTGCAGGTAGACTTCCATTTTTAAAACCATCAGATCTCATGCGACTTATTCACTATCACGACAACAGCATGGGAAAGATCCATCCCCATGATTCAATTATCTCCCACCAGGTCCCTCCCATAACACATGGGAATTCGAGATGGGATTTGGGTGGGACACAGCCAAACCATATCATTCTGCCCCGACCCCTCCCAAATCTCATGTCCTCACATTTCAAAACCAATCATGTCTTCCCAACAGTTCCCCAAAGTCTTAACTCATTTCAGCATTAACTCAAAATACCACAGTCTAAAGTTTCATCCAACACAAGGTAAGTCCTTTCCACCTATGAGCCTGTCAAATCAAAAGCAAGTTAGTTACTTCCCAGATACAATGGGGTACCGGCATTGGGTAAATACAGCCCTTCCAAATGGGAGAAATTGGCCGAAACAAAGGCGCTACAAGCCCCATGCAAGTCCAAAACCCAGCATGGCAGTCAAATCTTAAAGCTCCAAAATGATCTCCTTTGACTCTATGTCTCACGTCCAGGTCACGCGGATGCAAGAGGTGGGCAACCACAGCCTTGGACAGCACTGCCCCTGTGGCTTTGCAGGGTACAGCACCCCTCCTGGTTGCTTTCATGGGTTGGCGTTAAGTGTCTACAGCTTTTCCAGGCATATGGTGAAAGCTGTCTGTGGATCTACCATTCTGGGGTCTGGAGAATCATAGCCCTCTTTTCACAGCTCCACTAAGTGGTGCCCCAGTAGGGACTCTGTGTGGGGGCTCTGACCCCACATTTCCCATCTGCATTGCCCTAGCAGAGGAACTCATGATCACCCCACCCCTGCAGCAAACTTCTGCCTGCACATACATCCCTGAAACATAGGCAGAGGTTCCCAAACCTGAATTATTGATTTCTGTGCACCTGCAGGCTCAACACCACCTGGAAGCTGTCAAGGCTTCAGGCTTGCACCCTCTGAAGCCATGGCCTGAGCTCTACCTTGGTCCCTTTCAGCCATGGCTGGAGCAGCAGGCCACCAAGCTGCTAGGCTGCACACAGCATGGGAACCCTGGGCTGGCCCATGAAACCACTTTTTTCTCCTAGGCCTCTAGGCTTGTGATGAGAGGGGCTGCCATGAAAACCTCTGACATGCCCTGGAGACATTTTTCCCATTGTCTTGGGGATTAACATGGGGATCCTCATTACTTATGCAAATTTCTGCAGCTAGCTTGAATTTCTCCTCAGAAAATGGGATTTTCTTTTCTATCACATTGTCATGCTGCAAATTTTCCAAACTTTCATGCTGTTTCCCTTTTAAAACTGAATGCCTTTAACAGCACCCAAGTCACCTCTTGAAAGTTTTGCTGCTTAGAAATTTCTCCTGCCAGATACCCAAAAGAATTTCTCTCAAGTTCAAAGTTCCACAAATCTCTAGGGTGGGGCAAAATGCCACCAGTCTTTTTACTAAAACATAACAAGTGTCACCTTTGCTCCAGTTCCCAACAAGTTCCTCATCTCCATCTGAGACCACCTTAGCCTGGATTTCATCGTCCATATCATTATCAGGATTTTGGTCAAAGGCATTCAACAAGTCTCCAGGAGGTTCCAAACTTTCCCACCTTTTCTGGTCTTCTTCTGAGCCCTCTAAACCGTTCCGACCTCTGCCTGTTACCCAGCTCCAAAGTCACTTCCATATTTTCGGGTATCTTTTCAGCTGCGCCCCACTCTACTGGTACCAGTTTACTGTTTTAGTCCATTTTCACACTGCTAATAAAGACATACCCAGCTGGGTGTGGTGGCTCATGCCTGTAATTCCAGCACTTTGGAAGGCCGAGGCGGGCAGATCACGAGGTCAAGAGATCAAGACTATCCTGGCCAACATGGTGAAACCCCATCTCCATTAAAAATACAAAAATTAGCTGGGCGTGGTGGCATGCACCTATAGTCCCAGCTACTTGGGAGGCTGAGGCAGGAGAATCGCTTGAACCCGGGAGGCAGAGGTTGCAGTGAGTTGAGATTGCGCCACTGCAGTCCAGCCTAGCAACAGAGCAAGACTGTCTAAAAAAAAAAAAAAAAAAAAAAAAAAAAAAAAGACATAGCTGAGACTGGGCAATTTACAAAAGAACAAGGTTTAATGGACTTATGGTTCCACATGGCTGAAGAGGCCTCACAATCAATGAGGAAGGCAAGGACGAACAAGTTACATCTTACATGGATGGCAGCAGGCAAAGAGAGAGGGCTTGTGCAGGGAAACTTCCATTTTTAAAACCATTAGATCTTGTGAGGCTTATTCACTACCAGGAGAACAGCACAGAAAAGACCCACCCACATGATTCAATTATGTTCCACCAGGTACCTCCCACAACACGTGGGAATTCAAGATTAGATAAGGGTGGGAACACAGCCAAACCATATCAAGCACCTAACACATTGCTAACCCAAAAACTTCCAGTGTTTTTTCAGTAATTTATTCATTTAATAAATTGTCTACGAAGCACTATTATATGTGCAGGGACTATGGAAGGTAATAGATATAAAATAGTGAATAGCATAGACCCTCTGCTTATATGGAGTCTACACATAAAAATCAAAAGTTCTAAAGATGATAACTTTTTAATTTTTTTGTAGAGATGGGTCTCGCTGTGTTACACAGGCTGGTCTTCAACTCCTAGCATCAAGTTATCCTCCCACCTTGGTATCCCTAAGTGCTGAGATTACAGGCACGAACCACTGCACTTGGCCTGTCCTTTCTTATAATTTGTTTTAAAGTCTTTTTTTTTTTTTTTTTGAGATTGGGCGGTCTCACTCTGTTGCCCAGGCTGGAGTGCAGTGGCAGTATCTCTGGCTCACTGCAAGCCCCGCCTCCGGGTTCATGCAATTCTCCTGCTTCAGCCTCCAAGTAGCTGGGGCTATAGGCACCTGCCACCACCGCCGCTAATTTTTTGGTATTTTTAGTAGAGAGATGAGGTTTCACCGTGCTAGCCAGGATAGTCTCGATCTCCTGACCTCGTGATCCGCCCACCTCAGCCTCCCAAAGTGCTGTGATTTTTGTATTTTTAGTACAGGCGGGTTTACCGTGTAGCCAGGATGGTCTTGATCTCCTGACCTCGTGATCCACCCACCTCGGCCTCCCAAGTGCTGAGATTACAGGCAAGTGCCACTGCACCTGACCTGTTTTAAAGTCTTATGTAAAATCTATGTAGGTCAGGTGCACATTGGGAGACCAAGGTGGGGAGGATCACTTGAGGTCAGGAGTTTGAGACCAGCCTGGCCAACATGGTGAAACCCCATCTCTACTAAAAATACAAAAATTAGCTAGGTGTGGTGGCACGTGCCCTTAATCCCAGCTACTGCGGGTGGCTGAGGCAGGAGAATCGCTTGAACCCAGGAGATGGAGGTTGCAGTGAGCCAAGATTATACAACTGAACTCCAGCCTGGCGACAGAGTAAGACTCCGTCAAAAAAAAAAAATCTTCAGACTTTTTTTTTTTTTTTGAGACGGAGTCTCCGCTCTGTCACCCAGGCTGGAGTGCCAGTGGCCGGATCTCAGCTCACTCTGCAAGCCCGCTCCCGGGTTCACGCCATTCTCCTGCCTCAGCCTCCGAGTAGCTGGGACTGACCGCCGCGCCACCTCGCCCGCTAGTTTTTTGTATTTTTAGTAGAGACGGGGTTTCACGTGGTCCGGCCGATGGTCTCGATCTCCTGACCTCGTGATCCGCCCGTCTCGGCCTCCCAAAGTGCTGGGATTACAGGCTTGAGCCACCGCGCCCGGCCATCTTCAGACTTTTAATTGCCTACAGCGTAAAATTCCGACAGCTCAACAAAACATGAAAAACCTTTTGTCATCTAACCCCACCCACCTGGGCCAGTCTCCACACCTTCCTTTTCTACATCACCAACGCCAATCTACCTTCTTTCAAGCCCTCTCCCTAGCAAACTTCTAGTCTCAACGTGGACTTTGGCGTCTCATATAACGCCTCTTCCGACGTCTCCAGTTTTTGTCTCTTGCAACCTCTTGCAAGCTCACACCATAAGCCTCCAACTTGAATTGTAATGATTTCTGCCTTGCTCTCCAATAGTGATCTCTATGACAGTAGAGGTATTTCTTTTTCATCTAGTGTCCATAACCCTGCCTAACACATTTCTATCTAACGAATGAAACCTTTTGCATCAGGAGCATCGCATTTGCACTAGTCCTCTAGTCAGGACTAGAACCCACAACTCTACTCCCCCTAGGATGCTCTTTTCATTAGCATAACTACATAGTTGCAAGAAAGCGCAAAGAAAACAGGGAGAAAAGAGGTTAACTAGGCCTATCCAGAACATTTGGCCCACATAGGGTGAGACGTTTGTAGCTTTCCAGGGAGAGAGAATGCTGGATAGATGGGGTCGGGTGATGGAGAGCACTGAATGCTGAGCTAAAGCAGATAGCGTCCATGACTAGCCCAAGGTCACACGTTAATAAGCAGAGGGGCAGCGACTTGATCCCAAGCAGCCCAGCTCCAGAGTCCGTTGGTCCTGACCACTTCATCATACTGCCCCTTAACGGCGCTCCATTACCAGCCCCTTAGCTGGACCGGCGGTATAAATCGGAGCGTCGTGGGAGCAGAATAACGTGGGTGGCATGAAAGGGTCTCCTAAACCCCCTCTATTTTAAATCTCACTCCTGGCTGCTGTTCGAAATAAGAGATTCTGGCCGTGTTTGTAATGAGCGCTACATGTAGGGCCACGGCGAGGAATGCGACTGCTGGAAAATGAACTAGAACAATGCATTAAAATGCCTGGCACGACGTAAACACTCCGTGATCACAAGTTCAGATCCGGGACGGCTGGAGAGGCACGGGTTTCAGGGCTGAGGGGGGCGTCCCTCCGGAGCCAAGCAGAACCTGGGGACGGCGGAATTCCCACCAGCACAACGTTCCGCCCCCGTGCCTCCGCGCTGGAGAGGCTGCTCATCACCCACTTTCTGAGGCGAGAATGGAGCCGCGCCACAGGGCCCCGGGTCCCCCCACAGCACGCGCCGTCCTCGCCCTCACCTGCCGGCCCCATATACTTGATCACCCCCTGGGTCTTGAACACCTCCCGGGCGGCCAGCAGCGCGTCCTCGCTGTGAGCCGTATAGAAGTCGCCCCGGTCGAAAAGGCGCACCGTGGTGGTCGGTTTCTCCGGCATGCTCTGAAAGAATCGCACGAAGCCGACCTCGGCCGCGCTCTCCAGCTGCAGCGTCTCCTTAGGTTGCACCGCCATGTCGGAACCTCCTCACCTCCTGGCAGAAGGAACTGCGCGACCCCACACCCACTATGCTGTTTCCCGCCTCCCCTCCCACGTCCCCCCGAGCGGCGTCCGGTCACGGCGGCCACACCCAATCAGCTTCCAGGGCTGCGTTTCGGTGGGTGGGAGTCTGCCGCGGCAACCAATCATAAGCAGACGCTGCCCAGTTTCCCGCGCACACTGGGGACTTTAGCTACTGCGCATGCCTGCGCCTAGGTCGCGCGCAGACCTGCAGACCTGCATCCTTGGTAGAAAGCAGTTCTCAAGTGTTTTCTTAGGTCCAAGGCTTGGAGTCCCTGGGTGGGTGGATGCAAGGGTAGGCAGCCACCAGGTGGGAGATTTCCGGCAGGTACTGAGCTCGTAATGTGCCCGGAACCATGGGAGTAACATCAGAAGGAAACTTGAAAACAAAACAAAACAAAAAAACTAGCCTTCCTCCTCCTCCCACTATTTTGTTCAAACGTGTGCCCCTCTCCAACTGCCCCTCCCTTTTTCTTTTTAAGCAAACTGCCAACATCGGGATTACGGGTTTATTCTACACAACCTCCTTAACTGCTGCCTTTTAGCCACATTATCGTTTCGTCCACTCGTTGACGATTCACTCATTCAAAAACATTTATATGGCCTGCTACGTCCCAGACTGCTCTTGGCTCTGAGGATCACCAGTAAAAAGAAAAATCACTGCCTTTATTCTGCTTACATTCTAATATGAGAAGATTCAGATAATGAATATAGCAAGTAAATGAAATGGTACGTTAGAAGATAAGTGTTTGTGGCCCGGCGCGGTAGCTCACGCCTGTAATGCCAGCACTTTGGGAGGCCGAGGTGGGCGGATCACTTGAGCCCAGGAGATTGACACCACCCTGGGCAACATGGTAAAACCCATGTCTGTGATCCCAGGTATTAGCGGGGCTCAGGCGAGAGGATCACCTGAGCCCGGGAGGTCGAGGCTGCGGTGAGCCGTAAATTGTGCCACTGCACTCCAGCCTGGGCGATAGAGTGAAGACCCTGTCATCAAAAAATACAAAATAAAATAAATAAAAAGAAGACAAACGTTTGACGCCGGGCGTGGTGTCACACGCCATAATCCCAGTACTTTGGAAGTCCAAGCCAGAAGGATCGTTTGAGCCCAGGAGGTCGTCTGCCCTCAGCTATGTTCACGCCACTGCTCTGCAGCTGTGGCGGCAGAGCGAGAGAACCCGTCTTGAGTGGGGGAAGGGAAGACCAGTTAAGGAAGAGGAAGGTTGAAATTTTAAAATGTTAGCAAACAGCGAGGCGCAGTGGCTCACGCCTGTAATCCCAGCATAGCGGGAGGACGAGGCGGGTGGATCACCTGAGGTCAGGAGTTTGAGACCAGCCTGGCCAACATGGCGAAACTCCCTCTCTACTGAAAATAAAAAAATTACCGGGCATAGTGGTAGGCGCCTGTAATCACAGCTACTGGAGAGGCTGAGGCAGGAGAATCCCTTAAACTTGGGAGGTGGAGGTGGCAGTGAGCCAAGATCACTCCACTACACGCCAGCCTCGGTGACAGAGCCAGACTCTGTCTCAAAAAATAAATAAAATGTTAGCAAACACCTGAAGGAGATCAGGATCCATCCTGCAAAATTAACTCTTAGAAAAGGTTTTTGCTGACCAGTAGCCGTGGCTCACGCCTGTAATCCCAGCACTTTGGGAGGCCGAGGTGGGCAGATCACCTGAGGTCAGGAGTTCGAGACCAGCCTGAATAACATGGTGAAACTCCGTCTCTACTAAAAATACAAAAAAAAAAATTAGCCCGGGTGTAGTGGTGGCGCCTGTAATCCCAGCTACTCGGAAGGCTGAGGGCAGGAGAATCCCTTGAACCTGGGAGGCGGAGGTTGCAGTGAGCCGAGATCATGCCAGTTGCACTCAGCCTGGGCAACAGGGCAAAGAGTCTGTCTCAACAAAAAAAAAAAAAAAAGATTTTTGCATTCTCCGGTTTAGTTTACCCCTTTCCCATGAAAGTGGTTCCAAAACTAATTCAGCCAGCAGAGATCACCCTGAGGAGGATTTAAGCTATTCCTGTGCCCGACCCACACATAATGGTCTTAATTTCTGAGTGGGGCCTTGGAATCTTTTTTTTTTTTTTTCTTTTTTTGAGACGAGAGTCTCGCTCTGTCACCCAGGCGGCGTGCAGTGGCCGGATCTCTGCTCGCTGCAACCTCGCTCCCGGGTTCACGCCATTCTCCTGCCTTAGACTCGGAGTGACTGGGACTACGGCGCCCGCACAACACAGCCTGGCTACATTTTTTGTATTTTTAGTAGAGACGGGGTTCACGACCGTGGTGTAGCCAGGATGTGGTCCCCAAGTCTCTGACCTCGTGAATCCCGCACCGCCTCGGTCCCAAAGTGCTGGGTACAGTGTGAGCCACCACACCTGCCCTTCTTTTTTTTTTTTTTTTTGAGCATGCACTCCTGAGCTCTGTCGCCATACTGGCGAGCGATGCGCATTCGGGCACTCCTGACAAAGCCCCTGGGTTCAGGCGATCCTCTCCTGCCTCGCTTTCCCTGAGTAGCTATGACTACAGACCACAACACCATCACTCCCCAGCTAAATTTTTGTATTATTTAATAGAGACGGGGGTTTTCACTGTGTTGGCCCAGGATGCGGCTCGTCTCGATCTCTTGACCTCCTGGTTCTGCCCCGCCATCCAGGCCTCCGAAGTGCTGGGATTTAAACAGGCGTGAGCCACCGCGCTGCCAGCCTGTAATGCTTTTTTATCTATTATTAATTTATTTTTTTTCATTATCGTTTTTTTTTTTTTTTTTTTTTTGAGTTTGGTGTTTTTTTGTTTTTTTGTTTTTTTTTGC